CACACTAACAAAACTGGATAAAAATGGTAAGGAAGATACTCCAGCCCGGCCGACTGGAAATACCAATCTTCATAAAGTGAAGACTCCCAAGGTTACGCCTGTAACAGCAGGGGAAGATGGAATTGCCAAAGCACCACTTGTATCCGCTAGCAAGCATGGCAACAGAGCGAGGACCAGTCAGAACCGACTGAAATCTGAAGTGACCGACACAACAAAGGAGGACAAGCAGCCAAAGACCAAACCTAACTCTGAGGCCAGTCGACCGAATTCCCTTATCCTGGATAATGTACCCATGTGCGATGATAGTCCGCTCGGACAAGAGGCTCTGTTTGACCAGGAACAGTGGCCCAATTTGCGCAATAAATTAGGTCTGAACATCAATTCAGCGAAATTGGGCAGAATGCACAGGGGCACCTCAGGGTAAGCCACCACCATTAAGGGTTTCGCTGGGCTCTGCCAAAGAGGCTAAATGAATAGTGTTACTGGCTCAAGTACTAGTTACGTCAGGAGTTACAGCATGAGAATAAAGCATGATAGGATGTGGACTAACAGGCAAATGGCGAGGGAGTGACCGGAACTGATACCCTCTACCTGTATAGTAAAAGTACGGTGTCTCAGATACGGAAGCTGGCACTGCTTGTGAAAAATACACGCATGACGTACAGAAGTGCAGAGAGCTGTCATCCCAAATGGCCCCTGGTGCTTCTGAAGCTATCTCGATATTCCGGCTACCTCGTCCCGCTCATCTCCCACTGATTAGCTCCCCAAGGCTGCTAAGTGTACAATTCAACTACCAGGAACTATTGCCTCTAGTACTTCAACGGTGGTACGAGACCAAAGGTAAATTGGAAGGACACACCCGATGTTGTGAAAGCAGAACTCGAATCATAAGTAGGCAGCAGACTAAGGCCTTAACACGCCCCAAGTCTCGGTGACACTACAGTGATGCGGCGCTGAGAATGACAGTTAGTGTCACCCAGGTGTCCTATCCGAAGCCAGGGAAAAAGCGACAACAGGCCGGTTCTATTGGAATTGGCCAACTAGTTCCAATGTTAAGTCCACTACCAGCAGACAACGCAACGTCAACTACCCCATAACCCACCAAGGTTGTGAAACTCACCGTCGGCTGCCTTGATAACAATGTTAGAGGACTGAGAGGGAATGTAAGTGAATTCAGAAGCCTCCAGTTACAACTAGACCTTAAAATAATAATCCTCACTGAAGCCTGTCTAACCCCCACTATCGTCGACAATGAAATCAGTATAAGTAATATGGTTCTGATGAGGAGAGACAGGGATAACAAGGAAGGGTGAATTGCCACATACCTTGACATGCAACTTAAATGTGTATGTGCAGTGAACCCACCACTTATTAAACTCCAGATTCCATATGATGTCATTTCATCGTAGGTCACACCAATCACTTACTGAGTATCATCTACCGATCACCCACCTTTAAGTAGAGCACAACCAGATGCTGCTCACCATAATCACAGAGATACGTGACATGGGCTATGACCAAATCACCATAGCTGGAGATTTCAACGCCTCATCCCCGAACCTTGGCTTGGGGTATGCTCAAAGAAAATTCGGTCGAAATCTACCAGAGCATTAGAAATACAGGAGTGACTGAGAATGTTGGAGACGACACTAGGTGGCTCTCTGGTGGAAAGCCTTTGAGACTATATTATATTCTAAATAGTGACCAACTACTTGTCGAAAATGTCCAGATGATGACCTCCGTGCGAGGTATTGACCACTCAGTCATTGGATTCCATTGCGTTCTCTTTGAAGACTTACGGTGGGACGCTACGAGACCATGTCCATGTTATTGCAAGGTTGACTATGCTGAAATGTGGAGGCTTTTGTCCGACTCAGAATGGCCCTTAGAACTAGCTGAGTTATCTGTGGATTATACTTGGAGATGGTAAAAGAGGTTATTCACATAGCAATCTCGGATACCATCCCTTTAGTCAAAATACAGACGAAGAAAAGGTCATCGTGTCTGAAGAAAGGTACGCAACGCATTCTGCAGGCAGACAGGAAGGCTTGGTTTACGTGGCAAGTATCCAAGAGTCAGACCGATCATGAAGCATACCGGGAACTCAGGAACCGGTGCAACGTGAGAGTCAGGTGCAACGAAAGACCATTTCAGGCTAACTTTGCCAAAACTTCTGGCGAACCCCAAAAGCTTATATCGATTCATGTCGGAGAGAAAACCAACCAACCAGGGGGCATCCACCCGAGTAGATCCAAACGGTCAATACCTCATTGGTCTGCAGATGGCTGAAACACTCAGTTTAGCCTTTGCCGAACAGTTAAGCAGCAATGTGGGTATTACTCGTAGGGACCAAAATGGCGGCACTACTATTTCGCCGGAGGAAAAGCTAGTGGCTACTTCCCAGATAAACCCGGAAATAGTACTGGGGAAGCCACAGACACTCATATCTGGGAAGTCCTCAGGTTGTGACGACACCAGGTCGTCTGTTCTGAAACAGTGCCCCGAAACTCTCTATAGTCCCCTATTCGACTTGTTCCGACACTCGGTGGATTCGGAGAAACTGCCGAGGGAGTGGGAAAAGAGCAATCCTTTCCCGGATTTTCAAGGGTTAGGATAGGCAAAATGCCACCAGTTATAGACCAGTAGTGCTATTCCTAGTGGTGTCAAAATAAGGGAAAGTATAATTGATAATCACATTAGGGAGCACCTCTAAAGGACTAATAGACTGCATAAAGCACAACATGGCTTCGTAAAGGGCAGATCCTGTGTAAAAAACCTACTATCAGCTTGGAACGGTCGGACATAATGCCGGGATGTGAATATTCCAATCCATGTGATCTTTCTAGACTTTAAGAAGGCATTTGACACAGTTCACCATGACCTTCTCTGACACAAAACAAGTTATGCAGGTATAGGTAAGCCGCTTCTGTCATGGTTGAAGGACTATCTAGCTGAAAGGAAATTTTGCACTAAGGTCAATCATGTCTGATTATCCTGTCACAGCTCTTCATCAGGAGTGTCACAGGGTTCTATCCTAGGATCGCTGATATTTTTGATTTTTATCAATGACTTGCCACGCCGTCTAAGCTGCCCGCCTCTTCTATACGCTGACGATGTCAAGACATTGAGGCTAATAAAGTATTTGGAAGACTCAGGTAAGTTGCAGGCAGATCTAAAGCTTCTTGAAGACAGGGCAGTGATCAAACTGTAAAGTGCAAAGTGGCAAAATTACTCACCTGTAGGCTGCAGAATGCAAGTTACACCATGTGCAACGAAAGCTTGTCCTGCACAACGTCGGGGCGTGACTTAAGTCTAGTTCTAATGGAAAAAATGAACACAAGCGTAAATTACACGGGGGACGTAGAGAGGGCATATGCGGTCATACATTTTGCACATAGGCTGCTAGGTGCACTCACTCCTGACCTCTTTCTAAGGTTGTACAAAACATACGCCAAACCTCACCTTGAAGTGCATAATATCATGCACCCCCACTGCTTAGGAGAAACGCAAACCTCTTGGGAATAGTTCAGAGACCGGTGACAAAAAGATTGGTTGGTCTCTGAAATAAACCGTATGATGAAAGGCTAAAGAAATTAGGACTATTCACACTTAGCTACCATTGGCTTAGGGGGGATTTCATTACTGCTTACAAGATAAATGATTAAAATCACCCAAACAAAGGTGTTCTGCCATTGAGTAGGTATAGGCTCCCTCGTGGAAATCCCGGAAGGATAGCTCACCAGAGTGGGGCTCCCGCTTCTTTGTACTGCGGTTTTGCCGTCCCTGAAACTCATCACCAGCAGATGTAGCTGTGGCACCGTCTGTGGACACCTTTAGGCGAAGGTTGGACAATCATGCAGTGACACAAATGGCCTATCCTCTTAAAATCCCAAACACCAATCATGGGTAGTCATCTAAACTCATCGTTTAACTTCTTTACATTCCCTATCTGTCTTTACGCTCTCTTTATTTCTTTTTCTGTCTTTTCGTCTGAATAACCTACACCAATTATATCTGTTATTATTATTATATCTTTTCTTTTGACGACGACACTGGGGGGCTAACTGGTGAAAGGATCAACTACATTCACAGTAGTCTTAACACACCGCATACTAATAACAACATGTAATTAATCCCAGCATCCTCCCTTTCCGAGTCAACCGAAGCTAAGGCAGTCGGGTGGCAGAACGAACTACGCAGACGTTGACCGAAGACGAGGAACCTTTACTGCATAATCAAGAAACGAGAACAAAGAAATCAAGTCGTTATATACCAGATCGTAAAAGCGATACTGGATATTGGAACCTCACGACAACATTATAAAATAGCACTTTGATCAGTAACTTCTTCATGAGTAAACTGTGAGTTCTCTTATCTACTTGGGCCAAAGGAAAGGCTTTATAACGCATCTCTCGTCCTAAAATTTATGGGTCCCGGGAAGATGTCTAACTCACACAGAAATGCACGCATTGCATCAGTCTACAGCTTTCCAGTGAGTTTTGTGATGCATGTAACTCCAGCTGACCTGCAGTAGCCTAAGAGGATGATCATGTGCATGAAATTTAGGAATAGGGAGTATTGTATTGCCGATACTTTGGTCAGTTGATTGATAAGAAACAGGTTAAATTAGCGGCAATATTAGATTACTCCACCACGGCATTGAATCGTGATGTTCAGAATTTTACGAAATGCCTATTAGGATGACCTATGTTCTCCCCAACTCTCTGAAGAGTAGGAGGATATGAAAGCCAGGGGTGAACTATGCTATAATTTGGTTTATGTTAGCTCGTGAAAACAATATCGGATATTGGATTATAGAATTGACTATGAGTACCAACTGTCAGAAGAATTTTCTAAGCATTCACTCAGTGTTATCAAGAGGGGAATCGAGATCCAAAAGTGCCTGTTGAAAAGATAGTTAAATAGACTCAGAGTTTTACATCAACGATTGATAATCCCAAAACGGTGTTGGATATGTCGGATTCGTCCTTCAAAGTCAGCGGGCATTTCGAAAATGTAGGTCACCCTGGGGTATTTTTGTCTGAATTCATAGATTAGCATTTTTCTGGTCTGTTTTGGCATAGTTTGTTGTCTGAATTTTGTGAAGAGTGAATAAAAAGTAGTGGGTTGAGTCTTTGAGCCAAAGATCTTGGTTATTTCATCGAACAGGAATAGGGTTAGGAAAATATTTGGACATCATAGGCGTTGCAGTATGTTATTGAATGTCATCTAATCAACAGCAAATGTAGAGCATATACTGCAATAATATATTAAATGCTATGGTACATAATAACTTTATCAGCTGGCGTCATTTGTTAGTGATAGATGGGATTTGAGACTTGTCACACTTATAGATTAAATTACATGTGTTTTTTCTTTAGGGAGACTTTATTTCGTTCCTGGCATATTTATTGAACCGATATACAAACAGTTTCTTTTCTCTTCTACCAATTAACTGCTTCTTGGCTTATGTGCTACCTAAAAAAACAACTTTAGGCAGATTTTATTTTGATAGAGTCTCACAGTGTTATACAGTAATATTTACTGATGACGTTTCGAGCACAATTTATTGCTCATAATCATATCAAGTTAATCACACGACTTCCTAAATTCACTTATATAGTTCCATTGTTTTTCACTTGATTTTCACTTGATTCGATTGGTAGTATTATTTTCCATATTTCAGGTATGAGTGATGATTCATTCATATTGCATGTGTTGTCGTGTGATTAACTTGATATGATTATGAGCAATAAATTGTGCTCGAAACGTCATCAGTAAATATTACTGTATAACACTGTGAGACTATCATAATAAAATTTACCCATAATGGAATTACACTCTACCACAGTGCACAAGTTTTATTCTTATATCAACTTTAGGGCAGCTTAAATGTTTGGAGAGAAATGCATCGAAATATCACCCGTCTCTCAGAAGCCCCACAATTGCGCATTAGGGCTGTTTTGTTGTTTTATCTGGGGCAATTCGTGTCCATATCTCGCCAATTTTGTCGATAAGTGGCTGCGTCAAGTAGTGCCGAACAGCAAACACATTTACAAATTTAGGTTTTAGCCTAATTGTGTTGCATTTCAAATACTGAAGCGCGTCAACAACCCACTTGTGACACAAACGTTACTAATTTGATAGCGTCAAAAGTAATATTGTTTCTTGAGGGAAAGCTTTATGGTTATAATATTAACGATCCGGAGAATTTAGTTATCCTTTACTGCTTCGCAGTCACCTTTCACGCTTGGCTAAGTGTACTTAGTTCGACCTTGTTGGAGAATACTTTTCGGTTTTTGAAAAAGTTCTTAAGCGAGTATCGTCACTGTTTCTGAGTCATTTAGTGTTAGTTTGTTACTACTTCTACCCTAGACGTTTTTTTAATGTGGCAGACAACGAATGGCATATTATTTGGAAGCCCAGTTGAACAGAATAAAATAGGCGGAGTTTCAATGGAGTACTAGATCTTTTGGTTTAAAGCTGAGTAATTAAGTCGACGAATCACGTTTCTGGTAGCTGCTTGTATAATCCAATATTACCAAAAGCCTTTAATGTAGAGAATAGATCCGTGATAACGTTGTTTCTTACGATTTCGATTAGTGTGACTTTTACTTGATAAGGTATCACCAATTTCTAAGAGGTATTGGACATATACGGTCCTGAGAATTACGAGTAAGCGTGAGATCTAGATCCATAGTCTCCTGCCACTAATATCTGATAACCTTACAGGAAAAGGATAGTATTGTTTTTCCAGTGTTGGTTGGCAGAAATTTGCTTGGTTATGGGATTGTTCACGAGGTAGCATCGGTTAAAGAACCACTGTGAAGCCAGGGAGTACTGGATAGCCACTTTGTCCTAGTTTGAGACTCTCCATCAGTACGCGCCCACTGGGGTTCGACCCCGTAGCTCTCTGGTTACCAGGCGAGCTTTATGACCATTCAGGCACTGAGGCTCGACCCAATAGCTGAAATTCTGCCAATTCGCGATATTTAGTGCTTCCATCAGCCAATATCATCACCGATTGACTGTTCTCTTACCTGATTTAGTGGACTTAGCTGGTCATGACTTCACACTCGAACTCTAGGTAACTTCATGTATAGCGGCAGTCACTGGTAAACATCAGATAAATTTTCATATGTGATGTCAGCTCATAATCAGACCAGTAGTATTGTATTTTTAAAATTTCAGTGTTCTTTTTTCTTACTGTGAATATTTTTATTCACTCCATTTTTGTTATACTTTATTTTGCAGATTATCTCTCTGCATTAGAAAACTTGAAGTATTACTTCTTTTTTGTTTATTGAACATCTTACAAGATTGGCATACACACACTGGATTTTCCGCATATGTCGTTAGATCTTCCAATTGAAAATCTTCTTAAATGGGTACATTTCGAATTATCAATTTTTAAACTATCTCTATTAGTTGAGAACGTTTAACACAGCGGCAAGTGTTCACTCCATACATGATATCTCGGATGGTATTATATTGGCTAAAGTTCTACATTCAATGTGAGTAATTTTCATTTTTAATTAATTCAGGAAATATGCCCATTGAAAATTCTAAAAGACAGATTAATGGGGGGCAAAGAATATCTACATTTTCGATAACTTCTGCCTCATCAGGTTCTTCATTTATATGACAGTAATCATTAAAGGAATACTGCTATTAATAATAACATTAATAGTTTTCAAGTATTGCTTTTTGTAGGGATTTGGTTTGATTGGTTGGAGGATTGCATCATGAGCTGCCATCAGTTAGAGAACCATTGGAAAACCACCAGGGAGTACTGGACAGCTGTTTCATCTACCTAGTTTGGGACTCTTCATCAGTGTGCACCCACCGCCAGGGTTCGAACCCAGGACCTTCTGGTCACAAGGCTAGCAATCTCACAGACCACTAAGTCACTGGAACCCGATCTGATGGCCAGCCAGCCTATGAATTCTAACTTCTGCCAATTCATGACATAGCGCGACCACTTCGCAATGTCTCCTTCGATGAGTTACTGCCTCATCTTCAACCTGCTGCACCCTACTGGTCACGACTTCCCATTAGAATCCCAGGTAACTGCCTACCTGAATAGGGCTAGTCGCTAGTGAGCATCAGATGAATTTTCAAGTATTGATTTTCTTTAAATAACATCGAGTCATTATTAAGATAAGGAGGTAACAGTTCAAAAGCATCTGTATGTGATAATGTACATCAATATGTAACAATAAGCTCAGTTTGTAAATTTATACGTTTCACAGTAGGTCAGGGTAGTAATTTTGGTTGGACGTGTTTCTTTTGCACACAAAACATCGCTTGTTTTAAGTGGATCACAAATAACCTCTGCTGTTTAGAGTGTTCGGTATTTTAGAGGTCTTTTGTATTTTATTCGGTACGCGATAGATGGCTTCGTAGCCAGTGTGGACGAGGTGAGTTGTTGGTGGATTTAACTGCAACAAGTTGAGATAAGTGATTGAAAGAATGTTTAATACCGGTAAGCTGCAGCTTATATTTTTCCACATGCCCCACTGACTCCTAAAGTGAAAGACGACGCACCTAGACTAGCTACCTCTTATTGTATCTACCAATCCAATTGCTCTCCTGTAAAGTCAATTATTTTGGTTGTTGTTATAGGAACTTAAGTTTATGTGCTCGGGAATACCTACCACTGTGTGGCTAAATAAAGGTGTAGTGAAAATTGTCAGCAGTTCAGTATTAGATTACGGTCAAACCGAAACATGGCATCAGCCAATGAAATCCACAACAGTTAGTTTAAGCCACGTAGGGGGTGGGGTCCTGGGGATGGTAAAAACCAGGGGGCTGCACATAATTGGTGATATGGCTCAAAATTGTTCTCAGTGGCGCAGATGCATCCACTCCTAGTAACTTACAATATCCAATAAAACTATATGGTTCTTCGATGCTACTATTCTTTTTGCCTCATGTCTCTGTTTTGCATTTCTTTTTACTTTCTCCTCTTGCTTTGTGTGCTACATGAAGGGAGTGTGGCGACTGGGACTGCTGCGGATCGGTGCAAAGTTCTACGTTGAAACCAGTCAGTCAGTTAGTCAGTATTAGATCACCTGGTCCATACACAAAATCTTTTTTTATATCGTCTATCGCCAACTAAATAAATTACCAAAACCCCCAGGGTATTGAATACTCCAAACACCAGACGCCATTTTAATCCTCTTAAAAAAACACAACTGGGGCTTTGCGTGGAAAAGAAACATAGTGCAGCTATTAATGCTACCCTGATATGCTCTGTGGAACCTAAAAATTTATGAATTTTTTAGTATTAATTTTAAAACAAATTTCATCACCTACAGAGATGCTTTTGAACTGTAATCTAGTGATATGATTGATTCAATGGAATTTAAAATATTAATGTTGCTAATAGCAACAATTCATTTAAAAATATTATATATATATATATATAACTGTAGAGCCTGATGAAGAAGAAGTTATCGAAAGTGAACATTCTTTGTTCACTAATCTCACTCTTTTATAATTAATCTCTTAAACTAGTAATGAATAACGATTTTTCAAAGCCTTTATCAATATAAGTCAAAGACACCAGTAAAAGATTAACGTTTTAATCAATCAGGGGTTGCAATTCTTTGTTATTGAATCTTTTCTCACTTAAAGTTTGAAGTGAAACAATGAAGTAGTATTGTTTAGCAAGTTGTTTTGTCCTATGATTTTAACATGAACCGAACTTCGGCTAATTGGTTTTTGAATCTACTCACTCGGCTTTAACCATTAACCCAAGTTTGTGTACTAAACAGGAGAAATTATGGCAATATGTGACTGAGTGAAGTTGTAGTTCATTAGTCCAGATGGTTGACTTCCAAATAATAGGTCACGAGTCCGAACTCCAATCTCCGGACAGTCTGTCCGTCTGTCTGTCTGTTTTCGACATAGAACTTTGCACCGATGTGCGGCAGATCGAGTCGCCACACTCTCTCCATGTAGCACACAAAGCAAGAGAAGAAGATAACAAGAAATGCATAATAGAGACAGTAAACAGAAGTGTGAGACAAAGGAGTAGTAATAAAGAACATTGGAAATCATAAGTCATGAGGAGTGGATGCATCTGCGCCATTGAGAACGATTTTGAGCCATATCACCAATTGTTTCCAGCCTTCATTGGTTTTTACCGTCCCGAGGACCCCAACCAGGAAGTTGTAGACTTCCTACGTGGCTGGCTTAAACTAACTGTTGTGGATTTCATTGACTGGTGAAGCCATGTTTTGGTTTGACCACCGCTAGCTCTTTTCCAGCCTGACCTTATGTCAGCTAACATTGTCCGTCAGTCGAGGAAGGCGATGACTACGCTTATGTAACACATGTCCTAACCACCTCAATCTGTGTAATTTCACAGCCTCGTCGATTAATTTCCCCTCCTTACCTAGCACTCGGCGCGTAACCTCAATATCGCTGACCTTATTATACCACTTCACATGGGAGAAAGAACGCATGGCACCTATGATCAGAGACAGCTAGTTTGCGTTTTCATATCGTCCACTCTCAATGGCTAGGTCTTACAGCCATACAGGAAGACAGAGTGAACTGCTGCAGTGCAGTACGCACGCCCTTTGGTCGATAGCCAACCAGCCAGATATCACGTCTACTAAGCCAGAGACGGCGGAAACTGGCATATGCGAAACTAGCCCTCTGTATTCGTGCTGAGATTTCGTCAGAGATCAACAGATATCCGGACAGTTAACCAGCCGTCTGTCAACTGCATAGCATCGCAAGTGGCTGTTGAGGAATATTCTTATTTTGAAATGTGTGTGTAACTACGGAGACATCCAATTTAGTGAAACGTCGTAGTACCTGATCCTCTAATTTGTTCTATACTAACAGCAAGTGGATTTATAAATTGATTTTGGCTTTTTATTTTAGAGTTTTTCTTAATCTGATACTCAGACAACATTTGACGTGTTGATTGATAAATTCAAGTAGATTTGTGTTCAACATGTCCGAATCTGCTAATCCAGTGTCATTTCATGATTTCACACTAACTTTGTGCCAATAAAACATGTGTTATGAATGAGTATTGGTCACCCAGTACGTGGTTTATCGAAAGTTTATTTTTGGTAAATAAAGGGTGTGTGATTATAGCATATACTAATGCGTTCGTGATAAGCACAAGAAAATTTGTGAAATTAATAGCTTGAGTTCAATTTAAGTCCGAAGTGAATATTTCCACTAACATTGGTATTGTATATATTCAGATAATTGGAGGCAATCGGCAGAAGCGTTCCCGATACCTAGGTTTCGTTGCTTGACACTTGTCAACAAGGCGTATCTGAGATTCGAATCCGCGTCAGCCAGTCAGTCTTGCAGTCCTGTTGAGGCTTGCGATTCACCTCCTTTTTAGGACTGTATTAGACGCTTTGATTGGACACTAGGTAACTGGTGTCATCATGTGTGTGTCTAGTCCTTCGTTTGCTGCAGACTGAATTCTATCAGCCTCTGACTGCAGTACTGGATGACACTGGTTCGAGTCTCACAAGAGACATGAGTTCCTCCAAGGTGGTTTCAGGTACGTACACCTTGTTGACGAGTGTCAACAAGCACGAAACCTAGGTGTCAGCAGACACTTCCTGCCGAATGCCTCCAATTATCTAATATCTATAATTCATAATGTACCGTGTTGGTGAGACACCTAGGATGGTGGTTGCATTGCAAACTTGACTGATAAAATTCAGTCTACACCCGTAATGTTAAAATAATAGTTACAAAGGATAACGTTCTCGTAAACGTTCTAAAGAAACCTCCGAATTTCTCATAGAAGTCTTGATACTCCTGTTAAACCAAGTTCTGTACATAAACTCATCCAGATAACTGCATATCACTGCATTTCTTGATCCATTCACCGATCTGATCCGTTTTTTAGGTGACTCCAAAAGCTTTCGACGGAATTAGTGTGGGTTCCATCAAAAGGATTGCGAAAACCATTCGTGTGGTTGACGACATAATGAATATATAGCCGAGATTTGATAACTGACCGTAACTACTCCATTCATCCGTATGAATAGTCGTCCCAGGCAGCACTAATCGTTGGATAATAGGCAATAATACATTTACACTCCGATTAGGGATCGCTTCAATGTATCCTTTGTGGAGGGTGGTGGTGTCATAGATCCCCAATATCTATTGCCGATTTGCGCTTAATCTGCCTCGATTATATTTCCTTTTGATTAACACGGTCTCAACAACACGAACGATGACGCCAACTCCTCCAAGTCAGTGTGTTCATTTTCCAGGATGATACGTCTCTGCAGTACTGGTACCATTGCACCGCAGACACTTCCGAATTTTCTGTTTCATAAGCTGTTACTGTAACTGGTCTTTTCAGTAACCAGAAATGACACATCATTAAAATTTTTGTTAAAGGTAATTTAGACTTTGAGAAAAAAGTGCCTAAGGAATCTGTAAAAACTAAAAAAGAACGACATACCTTCTCGAACTGATTTTCTGCTTCGGCACTCACTGCACCTGTACACAAACCCAT